TATATATTTTTGCCTCACCGCTACGTGAGAAATGAATTGATTGAATGAGAAATATATATGTGCTGAAATTCGAGGAAATACATTTAATGAAATGCAGCAAAAATATATAAAGTTTAATAGGCCGTGCAAGGAAGTCATATGGTTTCCACATCAGATTTCCAATACATATAATTCCCACCCGAACACAGAATTTTCGAAGTCTCTTCAAAGCTCAAATTTTGAATTTTGTATTTGAATTTTATTTATTTTGTATTTTATACAAATTTAACGAATTTTTTTTTAACACGCTTAGAGATTTGAAAGTGAAAATTGGAAGAACTGTTCGAAATAAGATATTTTTCTAGTCCACTAAACAGTTGCCGTTCTACAAACTGTAAGACATATATTTTTCATCTTTAATCCACAGATTCGGTTATTTGAAAGCAATGTGTTGCCACTACCTCAAACAGTGTACTTATTGTCTCTATGCACCAGCGTGTTGCCATTCAATGAAGTGTAGCATATAACTTTCAAATTTAATCTTCCTTGTAACTGAGCAGGAAACCAAGTGCCCATTTTATCAGTACTAAACCTTAGTCATACTTGTGTAATTCCTAAACTCAGTGATATGAAGAAATGAATTTCAGACTTGGAACTTTGCTTCAGATAATTAAGATAATATGATTGCTTTCATATCCATTATTTCCTTCTTATCACTAGAAATTCCATGGCTTATCCCGCTTTGAAGCAAGAAGGTCAGAGGTTGTCGTTGCTTTTATCTCTGTTTAAGTATTTTCTCTCTGATGTTTACGGGAGTAACTGCTGCATAGTTACCATCAAGTTGCATTTAATATTTTACATTTCATGCTTTTCTTTCTTAACCATGTTTAACGCTCAAAGGGACTATTTTAACATTTTTTGGGTTACCTTTACTTATTAAATATCATGTTTTTCGCACTTAAACCATACATTTCAGTTCAAGAGCAATATCACAAAATATCTAAAAAGAGCCTATCTTTGGAATTGCCGATACACAATTATTTTCCGTACATTGTTGCTTTGCTCGTTTTGAAATCGTTGAGTTTGTTAATTAAAAATTCGTTAATGTTTTACAAAATATGAAATAAATAATGAAACAAATTACAAATTTGGGCTTCCAAATGCCCATATTCGAGTGGAGGATTACGTTATTCAGAATTTGAGTGTAAGTTTCAACCGTTGTTTCTTCCCAATGCGAGAAGCATACACACATTCATGCATATTCCTCGTTATTTAATTTTTTTAAATGTAATGCAGTGCTCTAATATTTGGTGGCAACAGTTTGAAAGTGAAACGCCGTTTTATAGTGGACGACGCAAAAGGCCAAAACAAAATTAATAGCTCTTCTTGGTAAAAAGGGGAGACAAAAAGAAAGAAAATCAGAAAGGATTCAGATTTCAAAATTTATATGTCTGGCCAGCAGAAAATTTGACCTTTGTCTGTTTAGTCGATCTGCCACTTCATGATTACAAGCATGACCAATGCTTTTGTTTTTTTTTTCAATCTCCAACTACCATTTCTTTTTTTTCCCTCAAAAACCTTTAATGTACGATAATACTTAAAAGCATTTCATGAGAATTTTTATAACTCTCTGTGAACAAAATGTATCTGTTCCAAGAGGTGGATTTTGATGGTAAAAACCTTAAAAGATGGGACACAGATATTGCATTTTCACCTCCTATTCACCGTCTTCACATCACCTCATCGCTGGTATTCGAGAAGGAATCCTAACTCATTTACAGTGACTCTAGAGGTTTGTTTATGAATAACTTTAATACAAAGAAAGTGTTCTCCTCTGAAGGCCAGTGCGCCCAAAGAACACGGAAAACAGTATCAGCACAGGACCAGTTATCGGAAGATTTCAGTCAAAGAGGTTTTATTGAACCACTACATACCTGAACGATAAAACCATAGTTCACAATATTTTGAATGGGTGAACGATGGAAAACTTTGATAGATACAAGCTGGATATTCTGACTCTGAAGAATCAATATTTTATTAATCTGAGTCTAATTATGAGTGGAGATGAGTTTAATAAACGGCGTATATGAACGGCATATATAATAAACGGCTAAATATTAGCATATATGTGTTTGGTTCCTTGAAATTTGAGCGTAACTAGCGGCTTATTTTATTAATGAGTGAGTTTCATAAGCGGTGGGTACTGTACATCAAATAGCGTAATAAGAATTTCAGATTTAGGCTTAGTGTATGCGAGAGATTTCTTTGTATATATTTTAAAACCAAGCAACTTCATTGCCGCAGTTTATATATTTTAATTCGTTACGGAACAAAAGTTTGCTTTATAGCGCTTAAATTTATCTTGGATTGTTACAAAAATTGTTTAAAGTAATCTTAAATTTTAATTTATTTATAATTTCGTCATATCAGTCCTCATCAAAATATGAACAATGATGGATGTACATTTTACAATTACGCTTACAACATGAGAGGACATGAAGGCTGAAGTTATGGTATAAATGTCTAAAAGACTGGAAAAAAAAAAAAAAAAACTGCAATACACGCAATTTTTATTTAACCGAGGCTTTTTGTCGTTTCATACTTTTGCAATTCCTTTAATACAATAAGAAAATGGCGCAAGCAGAAATATTTTTGATGTAAAATACATTTACACAAACCAGAAATAAATTTATTGCATAAGAACGAGTCTAGTGAAGAATATAAGGAAACAAAATTATGCGCAATTCCGTTCTTAACAAAAGGACATCCTTGAAGAAAGGTATGTATATTTTAAAAGCACGAAATAAATCTACACTTTTACATGCAATTTAGTAATTTTGTTTAGGAACTTGCTTGATTGAAGAACTTATAAATACTGATTAACGAAAAACAAAAAGATAATTTTCCAAATTGTTGTGACTCCTTATTATGTATAACTAACACTCAAAGAGTGCTAATTGAAATAATATTAACTTACGATTAAAATTTCTTCCGAAATCTAAATTCAGGACGAACTACCATAGTTTAAAATTTTTTAATTTTAGAAAAAACAAATCCTATAAAAAAACATTCTAACTTAAAGCTGGCTTTTTACACTTGAGGCAAAGCCTTTCCTATATATTTACAAAAAAAGAATTATGCTAATAAAAACAGAGTGCAGTTCAAATCCATTTTATTCAATTGTATTTCTAAGGTTCATTATCCTCAAGTAGATAGATAAATTAGCTTGTAATAAGAAAAAATAATTAATTCCCCATAACGTCAATAGAGGAGGAAAATAAAATTCTGAACTGCTAAAGCTCAAAAATCGTATCAGATAGCAACTGTAACGATCTTTACACTTCTCCCCCCCTCTACATTTCCTTCTCTGAGAAGCAGATAGAATTCGACCTTGAACTCTTCTAGTCTGGCCGGCGATATTAACGCAGTCGTTCACACAAGCGCCTCGCGTCGAATATTAAGCTGTCGATCTGAGCTGAACTCTGCAAAATGGCGCAAAGTAGACCAATTCTTTACTCTTATTTTCGAAGTTCGTGTTCGTGGCGCGTGAGAATAGCGTTACATTTGAAAGGAATTGATTACGAATATAAAGCCGTAAATTTATTGAAAGATGAACATCACAACGAAGATTTTTTAAAATTGAATCCTGTTGCTGAAGTTCCTGTTCTGTATCATGAAGGTAAAGCCATCAGCCAGTCTGTTGCTATTATGGAATATCTGGAAGAAGTTGTACCAAACCATACCCTCCTGCCAAAAGATCCAGCTGTCAGAGCTGCAGTCCGTGCCGTTGTGAACACAATAGTTGCTGGAATACAACCGCTGCAAAACAGGAAAGTACTTGTGCACCTCGGTGATGCCACTAAAGCAAATTCTTGGGCCAAGCATTGGGTGGAACAGGGATTCAAGGCTGTGGAAAGAATCCTACAGTCTACGCATGGACAGTATTGTTTTGGTGATGTCATTACAATGGCAGACGTGTGTCTTGTTCCTCAAGTTTACAATGCAAACAGATTCAATGTGGATATGTCTCAGTTTCCTTTGATCAGTGAAATTTCGTCTAGGTTGAGTGACTTAAAAGAATTCAAAGATACCCATCCAACCAGACAACCAGATTGCCCCGAGGAATTCAGAATCTAGATTTTGCTATCTAAGCCAGTTTGCATGTTGAAATAAGAACTGAAATACTGTGTCTTGATGCCACATAATTTTGCTAAAATTCAACGAATTTTCTTATTTTTCTAATTAATAAATGTCATTACGATATAGTATTATTAAATGTAAAGAATTTTAAGGTCAGTAAAGGCAGTGGATTTGTTACAGTGCATACTTTTATAATGTGTTTCAATTGTTCGATTCATAATGAATAATCAATTTTTAATGCAATATTTGGGACTTTAAAAAGGAAAGGAAATATTTACGATGAGCAGTTAAAACGTAATGTGGAGGATAATATAGGTAAGTAAGTTAGAGTCAAACTGTGTTGGAGGGAGGGGGGAGTTGATTAAGGATTCAACTGGAAATTTTTTTCCTTTCATTTTAACTTAAGTGTTAAATATCCTACATAATTTTGATGTATTTCATGTGTATAAACATAAGCATTTTTATTACCTAAAATGAATTTCAGCATTTTTTTCTGTTCTATGCAGAGCGTTAAAAATAATTTTAATCATTTTACAATGTGTTCATTTTATTTTCAATATTTGATTTTCATTCATACGTTTAATAATCTGGCCCGTCAGTATTTTATTTTGTTTGGAGTCAGCAAATGATGCCGTTTTGTTCTAACAGAAAAGCTTTTTACAATGAGATTTGGTGCACCCTCTTATCATATTTGAATATTTTTATAACAGTATGCGGTATACATCTGAAAATATATATATATATTTCTATTAATATAACACATGATATATATGAATAATTACATGTATTATATTAATAGGAAAGACAGTTGTTTTCTTTTGATGCTTAATGAAAAGTATTTTTTAATTGAAGAAATGAAATCGGTAAAACCCGACCAGCAAAACCTTTTAATTCAGTAAAGTATCTCCAATCTATTAAACTGTACACAGGAAGTCGAATGAAACAGGATGTTCTAACTGTAGACCAAGTGATCTTTAACTGGCTTCTCGCTTACCGCCCTCACGGTAATTTTACCCGACTCGCAAATGCATTTTAATAATGCATTTGTTTCAAATAACGATGATGCAAAAATTTAAAGATTTTATTTATTTCAATTCTGGATTTACATTATTTTCATCACGATTAAAAACTTACATTACTTAACCGTAAAATAATATATAAATTGAGCTGATTAATTTATTGTGTAATAAAACTCTTATTCAAAGATACAAATTTTTATCCCAAAAGGGATGTTAGTTCCCGAATGGGATTAATCTCGAAACGGCATTTTGCGTTGAAACGTTTAATGCATTGTATCCCTTTTCAAATTGTTGCCACCAAATATTATAGATCTGTATTTAAAGAAATTAAATAATGATAATCTGTATGAATGAATATATATGTATATTTCTCGCACTGTGAAAAAATAATGCTGCCTAGAACCATCCAATTTCGAATAACATAGTCCTCCACCAGAACATGGCTACCTGGGAGCCCGAATTTTGTATTTCGAATTTGTTTTGTTATCTGTTTCATATTCTGTAAAACTAATGAATTTTTAATTAACAAACTCAACGATTTCAAAGCGAGCAGTTTCAATACGTTTTTATCTCCAGCGCACAAGACTGTCTATCGGAAATTCTAAAGATATGCTGCTTTTTTAAATGTTTTGTGATTTTGCTGTTCGATCAAATTTTATGTGGTGTAAGCGCCTAGAATGTGATATTTAATAAATAAACACAAGGAACGTTAATAATAAAAAGACAAAAAAAAAAAAAATTGTAAAGCAGTCTTAGTTTAAAAAGAAATATGATGAAGTGGGAAAAGATTGGGGGGGCAAGAGTATGTATGTATGGCAAAACGTAAAGCTGCATCAGGAATTGCTATGATGCTTTTAAAATTTTTGTAATTTTGCTGTTGATCTGTAAATGGTGTAAAGTGAGAAAAAAATTATGCCTTATAATAAAGCTAAAAAAATATTAAAAAAAAGTGTGGTATTGTTGGAGTGAGTGTGACAGCAGATCGGTAAGAGTGCGTGTTCAACGAGAGCGTAAAAAACTTTACCGATTCGGATGACCGTTTTTTATTATTATTATTTATTTATATAAATTTATATTATTTATTAATATAATATTTGTATTAATTTATTATTACTATTTATTTATATTAATTTTTATCCGTACTTGTCAAAAAACAAGTAAGTTCCGATGTGTGAATAGCTTTTTTTTCCAGTCGAAAATTTGTAAAAAAGAACGTGATTAATCGATGAGCATCTGCAACTCGTGAAGAAGATAATTTCCACCAATTTCTCTCCGAGGCTTCAAATTTTACCAGAATCGAAAGGTCATCGATTGCCAGGCTGTAGTAAGACAGAAAAAAGTTTATTTCCTTATAAACATAAGTATATTTATATGTCAAAGGAAATTTTAATAAGAGAGAGTCTTAAGTTGGCATTATTTATTGTCAAATTTTATCGTAGTTGGAAAATTCTCTCTTAAAGTTAAAAAAGTTATGTATTTATTTTTTAATTATTAAATAATTAATTGAGCATGTTAAAATTATTTGAAGTAAATGTCAGTCAGAATATTGAATATTCAGTTGTCATTGTTGAATCGGAAGCTGTTAATATTGAAATGTAACCGAGAAAAATGTGTTACATATACCAACCTTAAGAACAAAAACTACAGGTAAAAAATATAAATTTGAATATATTTTTCCTTTGCGATTATATTATTGATTATGTACGTTTTGATGACATTTAATAAGCAAAATTAAATTTAAAAAAAATATTTATTATTTTAGTACAGAAGGTTCTTTTTGTTAAAAAAAAAAAAAATTCTGAACTGCTATTAGATGGTGCATTTGGCTCACATGCAGTTTGAATTTTAAACTCAGTCTTACAACGAATGAGTCAAGATCTTCCTTTCTTATATTTAAGTTCAGTTCAAAATTTGAAGCTAGTGATTTTACTTAAAGGAACTATTAGGTTTAACCTATCGTAATGATTTATCATTCGTTATTCTGTACGTCTGAACTTTATATAAATATAAAATAATAATATTAAGTTGAAAAATATGTAAATTAAGTAATTGCTAACGGCTCCAATGCATTATTTTTAGAAATTTTCAGCTCTGCGCCCAGGCTGATTGCCGCATAATAGGCCTTCAGATTTTAATGACTCAACAAAATATTCTGTAACTGTAGAACTGATCTAAAAATCCCAGTATTTAAAAACAATTAGTATATATTGCTGATAATGCAAATTTAAAACACTGTTGAAAAATTAATTTTAAAAATTAAATTTCTATTATATGTGTAAAAAGCTGCACTGATCAGTAAAGTTGTTAGCGATGCTAGTTGCCGTATCGTAACCGGTTCGAATTCCGGTGAAGGCTTGGGATACTTATAAGTATGTAGTGTCCGGACGATATGGGGGAGGGGCATTTAAAATATTGGCTAGACAAAAGTCCTTGCGAGAGTTTTCATTGTAGAAAAAGAGGGATGTGAAGACTATCGGATCCGACCCCTTGGTGTCTTTATAAAAACTGGGGGCTGGGGAAATTCCATGTTCCCTTTCTTATGAGTGTAATTCCGTCTTCTTCCTGTGGTGCATCCTGGGTGATGTCTCGATGATGATATGGTTAGGATACCAATGGGTTTTGTCTATTCCTGAGGAAGATATTAATTTGAAAATTATAATTAAGTGTCCAGATGTGATTAGCTATTAAAATGTGTTTATTTATTCTTTTCAAAAATACAATTCGCCTTCCGTGACGTATCAAATCACATTGACATGATAGGTTAGAATTCCACAATAATTAAAATCAAAAATGAGATTTTAAGAATCGAATAATGAATTTTACTGATAGGGAAGCAAATTACTTAAAAGTTGAACTTACGGAGAATATGAACATTTTTGTATCTGTAGAAAGATTTGAATAATTTTCTGGTAAATATAGACAAATTTTATGAAAAGGTTTTTGTCTTAATGTGCGTGTTTTTAGCTAAACAGTGCTGTTGGCTAAACATGATGGACTCTAACATGAGACATATGATTGAGATTTCCTGTGTCTGCCATCCTGCTGAAATTATATACGATGTTATTTGACCTGTTCTGTAGCGTAGCTGAATGATGTACTGCTGTACCAGTAGCTATGAATTTGAAAATCTTATGGCAAAGCACACTACGGCTATCTGCTTAAGAGGAGGGATGATTTCGTGGAGAACGTTGAAAGGAAAACTGGCCCCTGTACACGTTACACATGGGGCAAAACTACGAAAACACTCAAGCAGCCAGCCCATTCGCGGGATTCAAGCCCTGGTCCGAACTACCAGTGTTCAGCGACTCCTGGCGGGCTAGGTCGCTGGTGGGCTATTGAAGAAAGAATAAATGAGACGAATAAAATATATGAGAAATTTTATCATTTTGGGTGGGGGGAGAAAATATGTATTAAATACATCTAAGATGATTTTCCTAGATTAAAATTAACACGTGGTTTGAACTATAAATACATATCTAACATCGTTTTGCTGTGGAAAAGAGGATGCGGAATAACGCTATCGGAAGTAATCAGAATTCAGAATTTTCTTAAGCCCACTGAGTAGTAGAAAGTTTCGCTGTTTTTCGTAAATCTTAAGCATCTTTTCATTATTACTTGCTTGCAAAACAGACATGCTCAAATGTTTTCTGTTATTCAAGTAAACCGAAGTTGTCTAGTTAAATTATTCACAACGTTCCTGAGCTTGATATATATATTCCTTTTTCTGTCGATAAATGTCGCAATTGCTCAGGTAAAATATCTTCATCCGATTTTCTTCACGTTATTTTGTTCCCAAGGTTTTGTTCCAAAGCAATGATTCTCAACCACTGTGCCGTGGCATTTTAGTATGCTGCGAAATATTTTTAGGTTGCTAGTAAATTTTACGAATGCATAGAATGAAAGTTGTTTTGTAATTTAAATCAAATTTAGATACGATTGTCCGATAATATTGCAAAAAACCTTTAAGCGTGTTACTACAATTTTCCACATCATCTTTGTGTGAATTCGGATTTTTGGCTTTGACTAATAAAAACGAAAAAAAAAAAGATCCAGATTTAGAGTAGATATCATTTTTACGCCCAAATATAAATAAAATTGTTTTAAAAAAAGGATAACTCCTGCATTTTAATGAAGCAACTGGAGATATTTCTGTTTTTGTGTGCTT